ATACACAAGGCATGGTCTGGCTCAGTGACAAATTTTATTTATAGTAAATCAAGGCCATTTACATATGGCCTTATCGGTTAGTCTGGTACAGTCCCTGGATCTGGGTTCATCCCCAACCAGTGCGGCAGACCACCTCTGGGCACTCAAAGAAGCAGCCAGAGGATGTCGAACCAGAAATTTAAGTTAAAAATGTATATAATATATGTACAAGAATCTTAATAAAGGTTTACGACAAGGCTGCCAAAGTTTTAAAAAAAAAAAAATATTTAATTTATTGAATAGTTCAGATATTAATTTTTGTGATTATCTTTAAAACTAATATATAGAAAATAAAATTAAAATAGAGAAGAAATTATAAGATAAGTTAGTAAAAAATATAATTTGAAATTATGCAGAATATAAAATATAGTAAAAAATTTATATATACTTATATATTTGTTAGTTTAAATAAAAAAAAGTTGAATAAAAAAAGAAATAATTATATAATAGAAAATAAAGATGCTATAAATGATAGAAAAAAGGTCAATAAAAACTAAACCAAATAGAATAAAAATAAAAGAAGATATATATAAAAGGTTGTATAGTTAAAATCTATTAAGTGTATAAATTTTTATATACAAATTAGAGATAAGATTAGCTAACATATTAAGAGAAGTTATGTTTAAAATAAAATTAGGAAAGTTGACAAATAAATAGTAAATTGTTTTTTTAAGTCTCTTATTCTTGAGTTATGACTGTTTTATTTAAGTTTATAGAACATAGGTGCCACTAGAAGCTCTCTTATATAAGAGATTACAACTACTATAATATTTATATAAAATTATTTTTAGTATATAATAACTTCATATAATTACTAACTTTAAAACTATTAATAAAAATATAAGCAAAATCTTATTTTAATATTAAAAAAATTTATTTATAATATACTAAATTGTATTTATATAACATTTTAAAATAACTTAATGCAACTTTTAAATTTAGGTTTCAATCTCAATTAATATAACAAACTACTTTTAGATACTTATAAAAATAATCAAATTACAAATATTAAATTAAGATGTATATATATATATAAATTTTAATAAGAATTATTAGAAAATTGCTATTTATTACTGGTGGTAATTTCGTTATATGAGTGAGCTTCATGTTGCACTTAATTCCGCAAATTTATTGGCTATTACACAAAAGCGATAATTACCAGTAGTAATAAATAGCAAACTTCAAATTATTAATAAGATTGTTATAATTATAACAAAAAAACAGTAATTAAAATTAAATATAATAAAACTATTAAAATAATTTTTTTATAAAAAAAAAATTTTACAGTTAAGATTAGAATTAAAATAAAATTATATTAAGATTTAACAAGAAAATTTTTTATTGAAATATAAAAAATAAAAATTTGCTATTTATTACCACTGATGATCGTTATCAGTGTATAATATAAAATTAAATTTTACTAACAAAACTACTTTGGGGTTCTAATAAAAAAAATTATCTGCGAAATTCCTCTTTTTCTTCTAATTCAAGCTTTTAAACCTTACTCTAAATATTAAAAAAATCAATTTTTGCTTTAATGAAAATTTAAATTTAAATATTGTAAATCACTGGTGATCATCAGTGGTGAAACGAAGTAATTTAAATTTATAGTTGAAATTTTAAAAAAAATTGGGTTGACTTTATATTATATCTAATCTTAAAATTTAATTAAATATAACTATACTAATCACATAATTACAACAAAAAAACCGAACTAGTTTATTTAAAAAATGAGAATGAAAAAAATATAACAAATAAAAATATTTTAAATATAATAAGTATATGTTATTATCCATGTAAGTAGACAATAATCAGAAACTAGATGAGTGCCATCAAAAGAAAACCTGCAATTAGGTTCTCAATTATATTTTGTGTACAGTTGGCCATCTATCGACACAAAATATGATTGAAAATCAGATGATATATTGTTGATAGATGACCAACTGTACACAAAATATAATTGAAAACCCGATTCCAGGTTTTCTTTTGACGGCACTCAAATGTATTATGGATAATAACTGTTTTTATTCCCAGGTTCTTATTATACTTCTATACTATTTTTAAAATAAAAGTTGGCATTTTATAAAGTTTAGCATTATTATAATCACAACACTTCTTTCGGTTTCCCTATTTTCTTCCTTTAGCAATTTAACTAGGGATGTAAAGTAGTTTAACCGCCTGGTTTAAAAACGTAATTTATTCAATAGTTTAACTAGCTAGTTAGTACATTTGGTTTAATATAAATTCTGACCACTAGTCAGACTATTTAATAAAAAGAATATGACAATTCCACCATTAATGCTAAAAAAAAAGAATATGGCAATTCCGGACCGGGGAATAAAAAAAACCATCCTGATTATTGACATCCGGATAATTATCCGAATATCAATAGTAAATAGGTATCCGGATAAATTCAGATATGGATATGCTGAAAATTTTTAAAATTACGTATTAGATTTTTAATTGTTTATTATATCTAAATTTTTATTAAATAAAGCTAACATAATAATTTTATTATATTTTTTATTTTAATTCTACAAATATATATAGAATTTAAATAAAAAAATCTATAGATTAATAACTAGTTATAAAAATTATGAGTTTCTATAGTTTTCATCCATAATGTAGCTTGCGAGAAATTGGTACGTATTACACAATTCGGGTACCTTAGGGTAAATAACAATCGAAAGTAACGCAATCTTGTACTATGATACCCTAAACTATAGATATGAAAGTCAGATACATGAAGTTGCACAATTCAAATGCTTATTTTGCATACTATTCCAGGTATATATCTTTTTTATGCAATGATGTGTGTATGCATATATAGAGTACGTACGTCCGTACATACTTTAAAATCTAGTAAGAAGTTAGAATCTTTGAATGTCAGGGTCGCTATTTGTGGCGCACATCGATTATGCCATTTCATATCGATATACAATAAACAAATGCAGTAAACAAATGCATGTCATCAAAAATCGAAAAAGAAAACTTTACTGTCGAATCTTGTATAACACATTTAAGTTATCTTCAACAGAGATTTTCCAGCTTTAGGTTTTTAGTTGCGGGGGAATTCATAGTGATGCTATGAGAATATATTTAACCTTGTTTTCTTTGAATGATAGAGCTTTCAAACAACAAACCCTTGGAATAACTTGTAATTCATGTGAATTTTAACGCATAAAACTAAAACTTAAAGCAAAAAAAAGTACAATGCTCTCTCAGAGAAGCACCAGTTACTTGAAACATTGCAAAACCTGATGATTTTATTGGATATAAAATATGTAGATTATGCAAGCTGACACATTCAAAAAAAGATACTAATATAAAATAGTATTCTTATATTGCAGATTACGCTTACCTTTTTTGTGGTGTGTTCTATTCTGTAAGAGGACAAATAGGGCAAATAGATGATGAAAGTGCCTTTGTTTGTCTGATGGCTCATTTACTGTTACCGTACTCACATATTATTGTTATATTACGTACTGTATATCAACTCCACAAAATTATTTAACGATTTGACCCTTTTTTAAAGGTTTTCTTGCCAAAATTTGTTTGTTTATCTATTATATCTGTTTTCTTGTGTCAGGCCCATTTGTAACAATTATTAAACGAAAACAATAAAACCTATTGGCTCGTTGTTACGATTTATCCCTTTTTCTAATACCATTTAAATTATGGCAACTTTTCCATGTTTTGATTATCACGATTTGAAATTGGGCTTTTCATCGATGGATGCCCAAAAACAACATAATGCCAATAAAAATTCTCCTATAACTAACGATTACCAGCAGCAGACTGTCACTATTACTTCATCAAATAATCTGGCTTCTGCAAATTCCTTAAGCTTTACTCAGCAGTCTACTGCTTCAACTTTTTCATTGTCAACTGATATTTTATCAACTTCTAACTGTTCTGACGATAATTCTTGTTCAGAATCAGTGATGATGTCTCCTTATTCTATTATTCTAAATTCTGGAGAGTTAACGATGGAAGATACTTACTACGAAGATGAGGTTGCATTTTCTATTAACAATGAAACAATTGTATAACTGGATAACTCAGTATTGTTGAACTTAACTTTCGTGTTTATTTAGTTTTTCTTTGAACCTTTGGAATCCCCAGCATTAGTAGATCCATATATCTATTTATCACCTGCTCTAACTTCTTCAATCTCGCAATCGGATCAAGCTATGTGTTTATCTGATAATCTGACAAGACGAACTAATCAGAACAATCATCCTTATTCTCCGTCGAACAATCAAAAAATAGATAGAAATAATTCTTTGGATCAAATCCAGATAAAGGATCCTATTAATCACAGCGATGATAACACTGATCCTGAGAACAACCACATTTCTAGTAACATAATACCAACTATAATGACAGGTTCTCCATCTATACCACCAAATTCGAGCATGTCGTTGCCGTTACCTTCGACAAGTATTATGGTAACGTCATCCACAACTGTGCAGGAGCCTATGCCAAACTTGTCCCTTGGTAGTAATCTTGTATCCGAAGTAGCATTGACACAATCACCGTTCACTCTTCTACCTACTGCCACCTCTAATAATCATTCTTTATCTGACAAGATTGCACCAATAACACCATCTTCATTAATGAAATTGAAAGAGAATTCCACTTCTTCCAGGCCTACTCAAGGCATTCAAAAAATTGACAAACAGCAACCACTTACACAAAGTTCTCGACTGTCAAATGAGAAACGTGAACCTTCCTTAAAACAACGGACTTTTAACAAAGAAGCCACTTTTATAGTTCCGCCTTCACGGACACAAAGATCTATCCGGGTTACAGGTGTAGATGGATCGCAACATATGTTAGTAGTATCTCCAAACATATCTCCGGTATCACCAGGAACGAATTCAATGTTAATGTCACCGCCTGGAAAAAGAATTGTTCATACAAATCAGTCTGTTTGCTCTCCATCCGCCCTTAATGCTTCAAAGAGTCCTCAAGCTTTGAAACCAACAATAAGTCCAAGTTTAAAACCAAGATTATCAGGTGTAATAACTGATGATGCGGCAGAACAATTGGCAAACAAGTCAAACTATGTCAGTATCTTAGAAGGCACAGCCAAGTATGTATAAAAACAATAACAATTCACTAAGGATGTTAATAATTTGGTCTATTTCAATATAGCATCAGAAAATTTTAAAATTAGATTATAATCGATTAAAATCTAAGGGTTGGATTTTTATCGATTATAATTGATATATATAGAAATAAATAATTATAATCAGTCCAATTCGACCATTTGACCAGACCAATTTGACCAATGACCAGTCCGGTCAAGCATCTTTGACATTGGTCTAGTTATAAGAACAAATTGACCAATTAGGCCAATTTAACTATAATCAAATTTGCTTAATTTGTTTGATCTGTTAATTTGGTTCATATTGTTAAAATTTGATCAGACCAGTTTGACCAGAAACCCTTTGACCAATGACCAACAAATTTATAGTTGACCACTAATTTGACCAACACTGATTATAATCAATTAGATTTATATCGATTTTTATCATTATACGATTATTATCAATTTTGATATGAATCAATTATCAACACCACCGTCGATTATAGTCGATTAACTGTTTGCAACTGATTATAATCAGACTTAAAAATTTCCTGATGACTAGCTATTTAGTCCAGTCCTGGTCTGGTTTTTAATGTATAGTCTTAAGACTGTGTACGGATTATTTTTTTTCAGATTCAAACTTGCTGTAACAAAGATGTTGTAGAAATTGTTACGGTTTATACCTGAACTATTTCAAGCTTATTTCGTAACTAGTTAAGGCATAAGCCGTTGTGACTACCTAACACCCTACAATTCACTTAGCGCATAAAACACTTACCTAAATATTTTTATATGGTAAAAGGTCTCTTGGTATTTCCTATTCCTCCGACGTGCATTCAAGTCTAGAATCACGACGTACAACTCATAAAGCTGCTGAACAAAAACGAAGAGATTCATTAAAGCAAAGTTTTGATGAATTGAAAAAAGTTATACCATTCAACGCGGCAACTGGTAATATCAACATAAGTAATAACGGATGCGATGGAAACAACAATAACAACTCAATATCTGGTAAAGTTGGTGACAATAGTGGATCAATGAAAAATGTTTCCAAATTGTTTTTATTAAAACGAGGTAGGTGGCATGTATGTTCTATATTCTTAAATGTGTTGAAGGTGTTAATACGTTTATTTATTATATACACAAAACAGCACATGATCATATTGTAGAGCTTCATCAACAAACAAAAGAAAAAGACTTAATCATACAAAACCTTAATAATGAACTTGATGAGCTTAGGATATTAAAGAAACAAAAAGTTGACCAGATCCAACAAGATGATAATATGATCAAACATACAGAATAAAAAAAAAAAATATAACCTGATAGATTTTGATTCATAAAAAACTTTTTTAATTAGTAATTTTTAGCGTATAATTATATATTATAAAATTCATAAATTACGAATCAGATCATAAATATTTGAAATAATTAAAGAAAAACAAAATTCAAATCCTTAATTTGTTACAGTAAAATATACATCATTAATATAGTATATATAATCATATCATATTTAAATAACTATAGTGTTATAAATATGATTTGAGTGCTGCATAGTGAAACTTGAAATTGATAGTACAGGTTTTCACTAAACGCTCATTTTTATATTTATACAAACCTACACCGACTTTTTTCAAAAATATGCTTATATAGATTTTTTTTCTATATGTTAGTTGTTCTAGAATAGATATGCTTATAAATAGAATTTTTTATACGTATGCTATTTATAGAGGGGTGGCTATGAAGAATTATGACTGTACTAGGATGAGGTCATAGGAAGAAGAGGCAGATTGTCTTGGCGCCTTTTCATATCGAACTAGTTGAAGATTTGTTTCTTAGAGTGAGTTCACTAAATAATAAATTTTCTTTATACCAAAAGAAATTAACCAACAATATTTATGCACGTGGATTTGTATTTAGCGTGCTACCAAAATTTAGCAAATTACATTAACACATTCAAAAATAACTCAATATTGACGATAAAACATTAAATCCTAATTAGTGTTGTATATTTAATTATTTAACTTTTTATTTTAAAATATCTTGTTTGTTAATGATTTTAATTTTTAGCTTAAAGGGCAATAGTAATAATATAATGAATACATTTATTATAAAACGCACTTATGGTGTTTGGCACCTATTATATGGGTGAGTACACAGCAAAACCATGCTTAGAGCATATATAATACATATACTCTAAGCATGGTTTTGCTGTGTACTCACCCATATGTTTTTATTATGTTTGTAAGTTTTTATAGATTTTGTATATAAAACTTTTCAAATTAGGGTTGGTATTTAGAGTTATAATCAAGGTTTGGGAGGGCGTAGAACATTTTATTTAGAACCCCTCGTACAAATTCATTAACCAGTTTTTGAGATAATGTTTCATAGATGCGTTTTATATATGTAAAATAATATTTAATAGGATCCCTATTGTTGCACCAATAAAGGACAATAAGATATTAATAGGTATTAATTATAATAATATTATTCTGATTGATGCCTATTGATATCTTATCAACCTTTCTTGATATAAAAATCTGGTAGCAATAGAGATGTTTATTAGTATTTTATTGAATCTTATTTTTACATGCATTAATAAAAATAATAAAATATATTTCTTAAACCATATTCCAGACAAATTTGTTTAAAAAATTAAATTGTATTTAGTATTTTTTAAATAAAATAATAATTTATTAATGATATAAGGTATATTTTGCTTATGAAATATATTCTTAAAAACATTTTATAAATTTATTATAAATTTTTTTTTAAAATATTAATAAATTTTTATGTATTAAAGTTTTAAAGATTCTATTTAAAAATTTTATTATTAAAAATTTTTTAAAATTTTTTAAGATTTTATATATTTCCAAAACTAAAAAAAAAATTTATACTTGGTATATATCTAAATTTTTATAAATAAATTACAAAAATATTACTAATAAAAATTATCATCCTTTATATAAACTAAAGTATTATTAAGAATTATAAGTTTAAATTAATATTTAAAGAGTTTATCAAAAATTTGTAAATTATTTTTTTGATTAAAAAAGTTTTTTTAAATTTGTTATTTTTAGCTTATAAGCAATATATATTTTTTTTTTATAATATAAAATTAAATACTATTATAATATAATTCATATTTTCAAATATTATTAAATAAAATTTTATTTAGATATTTTAAATTTTATTTTTTTATTTTTTTAGTATTAAGGTAACTTCTTTGATCTTTTGACTTTTATTAATTACTTATCGGTATTGTGGTTCAATGAACTACTACAGAAGAGAGTACAATTGACTTATGTATAATTTTTCTATATTACCTATTTAAGAAGTTCACCTAAAGATTCTTCATTAATTATCATACCTAACACTTCTGCTTAGATGTTTCACTTTAAACTCTCTGAATCTGTAATCTGTATTAACTCACTGGGTTATACCCAGATGCTCAGATCATCATCTTAATCTTAGGACTAATTTATCTTCGAGATAAACTCCCAAAGCCTTCTGTACCCATTTTTACAGCTGATCTAGGTATCACTATGGCAGAAATAATACTTGTAATCAGGACTAACCATTAAACTGCTATGTTTTTATAGAGTTCGCTTAGATCCTAATATCTACTTTATAGCATAATCCTGATACTTTAGTATATTCTTGTCTTTTTTTCCATCTTTTTATCAAACATCCAATTCAGATAGCCTATATAGGATTATGACCAGTCTATTGGTATATCAGGTTAGCCTGATATCCTTTTCTTTCAGTTCATTCTAGTGGTCTGGTTGGTGGTATCTTCGAGACTCCCAGCCTGGAGGTTCTTGCCTGTCTGGCTACTACAACTAGGTACTAGATCTTGGTATTTGTTTTGCTAGGCTAGCCTTTACAGTAGGGTCATCAAAGATCCAGCTACTTCTCTACTTAGGTCTTTTTAAATAAACTTTTTGTTATCTAATTTTAATGAATTTACATGGCCACAAGAACTTATCTAGTGTTTGTACTGCCTGATTTGTCAGTTTGCATTTATCTGTATAACTTCAACATTGCACAAATGCCCTATGACCTGCCAGTCATACTAGTGTGATCACTATTACAGATATCCTAATCTAATTATTAGTAACAGTTGCTATAATATGAATATTATATAGGTAATTATCTAAATTTTTGTTATCGATGAGATTTGAACACCCAATCTATTACTTGGAGAGTTGACAATCTAACTACTTCACTAGGTTACCACACTCCTATCTTAAAATTTAAAAAATATAGATTATAAATATATTTTTAATAATTTTTTAAACAAATTTGTCTGAAAAAGCTTATAGATTAAAAGATAAAATAAGTTTAAAAAATTTTTTATTTAAAAAAGTTTATTAAAATGTATTTATATATAGTATTTTAGATTAGTTTAGTTTAATTTAGATTTAAGTTCAAGTTTAACTAAATCTAAATTAAATTTTAAACCTTAAATTTACAAATCTGAACTAATTTTAATTTTAATTTTTTGGTTTAATTCAAGTTCAATTCAAGTTTATAAATATATTTAAATTTAATAATATATATATATATATAAAATTATCTATTTCTATAATAGTATATTAAAATATTTTATTTTAATTAACTAATTAAATTTTAAAAAAAATTTTTAAAAAAAATTAAAAAAGTATTTATTAAGTAAAAGTTTCTTGAACTTCTAATTAAAGGTGTAAAGCTTATTTTTTTTAATTTTAATAATTAAAATTAGCTTAGTAGATATTAAGATATTGAAGATCAAAAATAAAATATTTACAAATTATTAGTTATACAACTTATTATTATTATTAGAACTTTATATAACTAGTAATTTGTAAATTTTTTATTCTTATATAATTAAAAAGAAAAAATAATTTATATATATATTAATAATAAAAACAACTTAAATTTTATATTGTATAACTAAAATATATATAAACTAATACTATTTATTACCAAAACTAAGTATAATATTTTTTTTTAAATATTAAGATAAGTACTTGTGATCCAGAATTTTATTAATAATATATTTGGCTAATGGCTGTATTACAATCACAGAAAGAACTATAAAAAGAGTATACAACTAGCTACTCATACAATTTTAATCATTGTTTAATTTAAATAGTTCACTCGAAAGTTCTATACTAATTGTCATATCTGGAACTTGTTTATAAGTTTTTTATTTAAACATTTAAGTTCTTGTATCCACTTATCTACTTCTGCCTACCAACAATTCTGACTAATGCCAGTAAAAATATATTATGACTACTAAGTCTTTAAAGCAGTTTAATTATATAAAGAACCTTTGACCTTATACTAAATCTTCCAAAATCTTCTATATTCTATTTTTACAACTGACCTGATATCACTATAACTAAAACTAACATTTGCAATCAGTATGTACTATTAAACCACTATGCTCTTGTCAAGTTTACTTCAACTCTAGTGCTGACTTTACAACATATTTTTACTACTTTAGTATTCAATTCAAATTTTAACAAGTTTTTAAATCAGATAGTCTGAAAAGGCAAATTGTAATTATACACCTCTGATTTACATATTTTCTGACATGTAATCTTTTCTTCTAAAACAAGTATAATATTTGGTTTATTATCAATAAATTTAAATTCATTTTTTATAATACTAAATTTACTATAATGCTGAAAACTTATACTTAACAATTACACAAAATGTTTCAAAATTTTAAATAATTATAATTTTTTATTTAAAAGATTTTAAAAAAATCTACTTAGTAACTTTATAGAACTATATTAGTTTTATATATATAACAGATCTAAAGTTCAAATTCTACTTATAATAAAATTTGAAAATTATATTTGCATTATAGTAACTGTCTTTTGTCAATTAATTGGCTTTATGCAACTGTAACTTAAATATATTATAATAAAAATTTTTTTATATATTATTATATATTTATTTTAGCTCTATATTATATTTTATATTTTTTTTTAGTATTTTTATATAGTTTATAAATTATTTTCTTAATTTTAATTACTTATTTAATAGGTTAATATTTTTTTATTAGTAAATTTCTTATAGTATTTTATTTTAGCCAATAGTTGTTTAAATATCTAAAATAATAGTTATTTAATATTATAAAAACCTTAACCAAAGAATTCAAATTATGTTTCAGATATCCTAAAACATTCTAAAACAATGAAACAATTAATTTAATTATAGTTAATTAATATTTATTAATTATAAAATAATATTTACTATAGTATTACTATATATTTTTTATATATTACTATAGTTATTTTTAGTTGTATTTAG